TAATCATTACTCTTAATCGTCCAACGTTTATATCAAATTTACAACCAAATCTATATTTCTGGATTATATTCAATGTAACATATTTTATTGAATAACCGATTCACATTGGTTGGTAATAATCTAAAAAAATAAATATTGGCTTGTGAAATAGTAAAATTAGTTTAAAAACCGTGTAGTTAAAACTTTAAGGTTGGTTGCGTACCTCATAATTGTAATAACATATGACATATGTCTCGGTACTGAGAATATAGTACAATTTTCAAGTATGCCGTTCACAATCATTTTACACGCTATATCCATAGGAATTTCTGGAAATCTGAAAAAGAAATTAACATTTTTTTAATACCGTACTTTGCTACCTAAATCAACGTATCCTAATTTAAGTATAATGTTTGCACCTAATGAATGTGGCCAGCTGCGCATTTTGTGCTGTCCTGACATTCGCCACCGGGCAAATTTGCGACAGATTAGTGCCGTACATTATTATTGTGTACTTACCTAATATTTAACCGTTTTGAAGTATCCGGAGAAGTCTTCACAAAGTATGGACATACCGTTGTAGTGACAATTGGCGAATTTGAAGCGTCCAATTCTTTGCGTAGTGCTTCCATACTAGCTAAAATACAATTACTATCATTATTATAGCTATTGTATTTTTGCTCGTTACATAAAATGAAATCTTGTAATTTAATTTCTAAACGAATCGCTCTATTACAATATTTTCATTTATATATGCTATTAATAACGAACAATTAAATTATATGTATATTGTATATTTCAAGTGATCACGCTTTTCAATGGCGTTACATATTCACACAACTATACATGAGTTTTGCTGGTGGTTTATATTGAAAATAAATGCATCCACTCTTGTCTGCGCATGCCCATACGATAGGAATGGGTTTTCATTTCTGCGCATTCCTATTCTCTCGGCGAACTGGGTATAAAACCATCGAGTAAAAAATGGCAGCTGTCTGCGGTCACCCTTTTACAATTGACGGGATTCAATACTTAAACTGGCAGTATTTAAATTGTACTACAAGGCGATTGAAAAAAAAAAAATAGTTATTTAACAGATTTTACCGTTTACACCACATTTAGTGGCCGAGTACGTTGCGGACGCCGGTATGGAGAACATAGAAGAGAGGGATGAAATCGCAACGATATGACCGCAGTTTCTCTAGTGTGTTGACCACCATTGGTAATTACGTTATATTGTTTGGATCTTACTCATCTACACACATTTTAAATCGTATAACTAAGCTATCGGTAGTTTCAAAGTGGTTACAACATAAGCTAACAATTATCTGTAGAGATGTAATTTGTAATATTTTCTTTTTGTTTGATTTGCTAAACTTGGTAGTTTTTATTTCCAATAATTTAGAGAACAAGTTGATAATATTTTTCATTTGTTTTTGGCAAACTTATAGGGTGTTATTCTCATTTTATTTGGCAACTAAATTAGTGAACTCTTTTAGTTTTTTATAGTCTAAAGTATTTTGATGTAAAATTAATAATCTACAAAACGTATGTATAGATTATAAAGATATCATGCATCTTCTTGGTTCCGCATTGAATTATATCGCGTCTAAACAAACACAATTTATAAGTTTTTTTATAAAAAACAATTTACTTACCAACACTACTTGCCCGTTGACACTTTTTCGTCTAGCTGGAATAATTTTCTTTATGCCAGCCCACACGATCAAGGGAACTAAAACAACGGAAAACACGAACAACTCGAATACGAATTTAACCGGTTTAGCCGGAATGCGGTAAGAACTTGAATTATTTTTCGACACCATTATTCGTTTTTGTACTCAACGATATATTTGAAAATTTACAAATACTCAGCAGTTTCGGTTCGTGGGTGAAACCGGACACGTAAGTCAGTAGTCACTGTACACTTTGTTTTTGTTTTGCGTCAAACACCGTTAAATTGTTATCGTCCAAATAAAAAAATATAACTGGAAAGTCTGATAATTCCGATAACTATAAAAAACAACTGTATTATTATTTTGTTATCACCTAAATCGTTATTCATGCGGGAGTTTCTTTTACCATTCGGCGGGCGCGCAACTTATATTGCTGGCTAGTGTTGTACTTTGTACGACACGATGTTTTTGTTATAAATAATAATAATGAAAAGTATAGATCATAACGAAACCTTTTTAAGTTTAGACATTTTTTTCATATTTAAGAAATTATAACAACTTTTTTTTAAATAAACATCGTGAACGGCTATTATTATTATGTTTATAAGTATTAAATCTGATGATTACAAGGTACTAGTCAGATAAAATTTCGTCTTTAAATATTTGACATATTATTCTTGTTTTCCAGAATGATTTTTACAAGTAAACAATTTGCATTTGCAACGTATCATTGTAGATTATATTAAATTTATTTAGTATTGACTAAATATTGAAATAAAATGTTGATCATAATTCGATAACGAAGAAATAAAAGCTTGTAATTTCTAAAGAGTAAAATACAGGCAATTTTTGGAAAAATCTTAAATTAGAGTTTGATCTAATACAGCGATGAGGATACTTTGTTGTTGATTGCCATTTTTTTTGTCACAGTAATTTCTATAGGATAAATTACAATTTTTTTCTCATCAAAACTGCTTTGCGCAGGACAAGTATATGAGGCCAGTATTAACAGTAAATTTACCAAATTTATTTCGTGGATACATTACGGGTGGTTAGCGTCTTTTTAAAACGGTTTGCATGATATCGTTATTCTATTAATTATCAATAATATTTTTAATTGTTCAAGTTCAAAATATTGTGTTAAATTGTAATTTAAAAAGGGCAACTTTTAAAAGTCAAATAGCAAACTACTATAATAGCGGTATGCTGTAAACAATTATTGCCGGTCAATAAACAGTTTTGAATAATTAATTTTTGAGTTATAAGCGTTTAAAAATAGTGGTGAAGTGTAGGGTAGACTGTAAATATTGTATTTGTAATTAAAATTTAAAACTATTTCTGAATAATATTTTTAGCTTGAACATTAACAAGTTTTTTGAACATATAATTTGAAACCTTATTAGGTAAAATAATTAATAATTAATTATAAAAATAATAAATTTCGTTTAAGTACAGTTTTCAAAAATCATGCTGCCTTACAGTTTACACACATGCTTACCTTTTTTTTTTTAATTCTCCTCTGTACAACACGTGATCAGGATTCCACGTTTCGGCTATAAGTTGTCCGTATCTTTGAATTAGCACCGTCGAAAATCCATTGTAAGTATAGTAGTTTTCTAGAAACCAAGATCAAACTTTAAACAGGCATCAACATATTTTGTCGATTATAAAGTTTTTTTTAACAATATTAAACAGTGAACGACGGTTATTCGACGACAACTATGTGCAATACACAGTGACATAATTTCCTAACTGGTAATGAATTAATGCAACTGCACGTTTGTTTGAGTTGAAGAAACTTAAAAGAAAATTCAAAAAAATAAATCTTATAGGTATTTAATAAAATATAAAATACCTATTAGAACGAGGAGTCGAGCTCAAGCTAATCCTATTACATATTAAGCTTAATTATTATAAAAACGCTATCCGAATATTGACATTGATATGCAAGATTACTATACTTAATAATTGAATTAATTGTATTGAGATCAAGCTGTTATATTGTAAATAATTTCAATAATAGTGTAGTCTTATTGATGCGCTATGCATTTTTTAAATACTTTGATTAAAAACTCAAAGTGTAGGGAAATAATTTCGATGAGAATATTGTCTCTTGACCTTGAGTCCAGATTTAAAGCATTTTGTACGAAACAATAAGTAACAATCATTATTCTAATCAAGCGATGACCAACAACACTATTCACATTCGATGCAGTCTAACCAAACAATACAATTTGTTTTGAAGTTATTGCTCTTAAATTTCGAAATAAAGTAAATGAGCTTAAACTTATTTCTATAGCTATTAAATTATATAGAAGTTGACCGCCACTTTAGTAGGACTTTTATTCAATAGTTTTTCTATAAAAACAAAGTGTCCTTGCATTACTCTCATAACTCATTAAATATTTTACTGGTGAGTTGTGACCTACAAATTAATATGGCAATTTATACAATGACTCGTACTTTTTTCATCAAAGCTGTGGTAAGTCTAGTAAAACCTGTTACGAGTAACCTAGATTGGACAACAACGTGCCAAAATGATTTTAAGTTATGTTAATTTAAACTTCTCAACATAGCTCGACATAACATTCTCGAATTCCTACTTATTGTTTGTTTGATATAAATATTTATAATTGTGAACTTTCAAGTTTCTTGTAAATATTTAAACTGACTTTATAATATAAACTGTAATAACATACATGTTAAACAAAAATGTAATATTGACTATCCAACTCGTTTTTTTTAGTTTTTAATTAGGTACTAGTGATCTTTTGTTTCAGCCACAGAGAAACATTGAAGCGAAATAGATGAGACAGAAGTATGTCTAAACAATTTTTTTTCAAACTAATTGTATGTTATTATTTCTAATATTATTTAACTAGTAATGCGAGCAAAAATGTTACAAGTAGCAATGTGTTAAAAACCAGATTTTGATCATATAAAATGTTGATAAATAAAACGTTTTTTGATTAGTTTACGATTGTTGTAAAAAGGTTTCCAAAAAACTGAACTAACATCTGACATAAAAACATTATGAAAATATAATTTTTGTTTTGATCTTCACCGTCTTATAGTTTCATAAGAACCTATTATACCCTTTGGATTTTACCACCTCACTTCTTAAGTGTGATGACGATTTGACTATTTCATTAATTCAAAGTTCTTACTTTAATCACCAATGTTGTATTTTATTTAACTGATGCACTTGGTAAGTCATGTACGAACATAATATGTGCACCTTAACTCGTTATTAGACATGGCCAAACGCCGATGATTATTATTCTTGTATCTACGGGGTTTAAGCGATGAGAAAAAATCTATAAAAATAATTTACACTAACAAAGGTTAAACATTATAAGTTAATAATTTATTACACAACACAATTAAATAACCCATCAAACAATGTATATTATGACGTTTTCTTTAAATTCATTTTAACGACAATACGGTTAGAGACAAACGTATCATCTTATTTGATACGTATCTAGAATTTCTTGATCTTTTGGATCTGGCAGTACGTTTACGAATGTGATTTTTTTGAAGAGTCTGTACATGTTATCCGGTAGTAATCTATAAAAAAAATCAACGGACAAAATTAGAGCCGAAGCGACGGCCAGTAATATACTAAAGCATTATTATCCCATTAAAATTCATAAGCTCAATAATAAGCACAATTATTAGCCGTCATCAGAGGCTATGAGTTTTTTTATGTTGTCAAAAAAAAAAAAAAAAACAATAGGAGATGAGGACTACGCAATTTGAATTTTTGGAAGTGGCTAAAATGAGTTTTGAAAGGCTTCAATTATTTAGTCGCAAATTTTGATGTGAACATTATTTTCCTGTTGCTTATGATTACCTCGCAAAAGCCATTGTGGAGTAGAGGTGTCCGGGCACAGAAAATATTCTACGGTTTTCGAGTATGCCGTTTATTATCAATTTACACGCTATTTTCGTTGGAATTTCGGGAAATCTAAAAAAAAAAATTAAAATTTTGTGTCAAGTAAGTACAAACAACGAGAATCCTCCAATGGGCGATTTGGTTACTAACCTAAGATCCAATTTTTCAGTGACTTTTGGATTAGTCTCGACGAAATATGGCAGTACCGTTGAAGTCACAACTGCTGAGTTTAATCTTCTTAATTCATTGTCTAAACATTCCATACTGCCTAAAAGAAAAAAACCCAGACAGTCAGTGCATGAAAACCATGTTTTACATATAGACGATAAAAAAAATTGTTTTAATTATCTTGTTCATAATTTTTTATTTACCATTGACACCCCATTTAGAGGCTGTGTACGATGAAATTCCCGGTACACCGTCCATCGAGGAAAGCGAAGACATTGCCACGATGTGTCCGCTGTTTCTTTTTAACATGGATGGAAGTATTTCTCTGTTCATCTGAAATAATTATTTATGTGGTCGCTTTAATAATAATTCAAAGCGTCAAACTAATGCCAAAATGTAATCTATTTGTCCGCATAAATGATCAAGTTACAAAACGATTACGTTAATAGTTAATATTTAACGATTACATTTCTTATATTAGAATACATTTTATTAAGCGAGGGACAATTTAATAAACGACTAGGTATTTAATTAATAGCCGTCTTGTCGAAAAGATACAATACAACACATTCTTAAGCCAATTAAAGATATTACCTTTACGAAACCCAGTTTTAATTTCTTGTAAATAAAATTGGCTGTGGATTGTAAACAAGTATAATTATAAAAAGATTTTAATTAAAAATATAAAAATATCAGGATTTTAAAAGAGATGTTTAGATAGGTTTGTGTTTATTCGCCGTGTTAATTTAATAATTAAGTTGACTGCAATGCCGAGCTAATTTTTTACAATCCATATGAGTACCAAATACGGTACTCATGGCAGTCAACTTGTTAAATATTTTATTATTTATGTAGTGCCAATTGTGAATTCAATTATTAGTCAATTTAGCTATGTTTAAAAACGTTTTATTAAAACTCTCACGCCTTATGGTAGTCTGAAGTCATTAAATTGACCCTAAAAGCACCTGAAAGTTGGGATGAAACCGGAACTTTCCCCAACTTTTCAGCTTAAATATGAGAATTGATTAATGTCATAATTTTTTGGTAAACTCAGCTCAAACTTTAATATGTTGTTTACGAGTAAGTAACCAAGTTTGGATTGTTAGAAAATAATATTATTATAATGTTGTACATGTTTATCTTTTACACCGGGTCACCTTGTTTGTAAAATTGTCATTTTGGCGTTAGAATTATTTACCCAAAATTGTCCCAATAGATTCACGTTGATTAAGTCAGTAATAAATTGATCTTTTTCCGGGTTAATGTACGAATGACCCCACACCAATCCGGCGTTGTTGATCACCATGTCTACAGGTCCTAGATCGGTTTGCACGGACTCGTGCATCTTCTTGATCTGTTCCCTGTTGGACACGTCGACTTTGTAGCTTTTGGCTATCCCGTTTTGTTCTGTGATAAGTTTGGCCGTTTCGATATTTCCCGCTTCGTCAACGTCAACACAGGCTATTTTTGCACCCAATTTGTGAAACTGCAAAGCGAGCTCACGGCCCAGACCTCTGGCCGCTCCTGTGATCTACGAAATAAAATATACATTACAATAATATGTTATTTTGAACAGACTGTTTAGAATAAACAACATACTACATAGTAAAGTAAGTACACGTTAAAAGTACATTACGTTGTGAAATAAATTAATAAACATGCTCAAGGGGGTGTTCCAAAAATGTACTTACAGTATTTTTGAATTAAGCGTTTAGTTGATTGAAAATGTTGACTGGTCATTAACCAGTTTTTAACAATTACTTATAGAGTAAAAGTGCGAGGAGTGTCAATGTGGTACTATTTTTATCAGCAAGCATAATTTAAACGCATTTTTGTTCGAGACCAAACTTTTAAGCTCATAACCATGAAAGTAATTATTCCAAATTGATTATCGATTAGCCAAAAGTTTACCCTTAACATTGAAAATGTAAAAAAACATTCACTGTCCTGGGAAGACTAAGGCATAAGAAACTTAGATAACCGTACATTCTATTAATTTGTATCAAATACTAACGGATTTACTCATTTATGCCTAAGGTTATACAAACTAGTTTTATATAAAGTTAAACAATGTTGGTATAAATGAAGAAAGTTAGTTGATACAGACACTAAAATAGTTTACACTAAATAATTAATAAATTTAAATTAATAAAAACAATATATACATCTAAAATATGTATAAAGATAACAATCTGAGTAAAAAAAATGTATAAGTACAAAGCTGCTGTATTATATACAACGTCGCGCCCGGTGGAGGAAAGTTAAATAACTTTAAAAACAAATTTCAAAACTGGTTTCCAACCAGTCAAAATATATAGTAAATTATACCTAATTGATAATGTTAATAAAATTTACCCGTTACAATTAATTAAAAAAATGAGTGGATAACTTTAAGGTGGCCACCTGTTTACCGTGAATCTGTGTTTTATTAATAGCATGTTCTATACACAGAGACTTTGGATTTAGCTGTACTGAATTTAATTGTACGCGTTTTACTAGAAGTCAACCGTTCACCTTGTCTTTTGGTAAAAACTACTTAGCTGTTGTAATAATCTTCTACGGTGTGTGTTTTTAATCAAAAACGTATTTTTCTATTGTGTCTTAACCGATTAGCACTTAATATTTGTCGTTTGTGTGACTAATAAAAACAGTATATTGAACACGAATTTCACTTACCACTATAACATGGCCTTTGGCGCTTTTTTGTTTGGCTGGAATGATGTTCTTAACGCCGGCCCACACAATCGAAGGTACCAATAAAATGAAAAATATCGTTAACTCGAATAGAAATTTTATCGGTTCTGACGGTACGGTGTAAGAAGATGAACCACTTTTCGAACTCATTTTCCAAGTGGTTCGCCAGCCTAGTAGTTAATTTTGTATTATGTAGATCAACATAAATAAGTTTAACGTGGATACTAAAAATTAGATACCGACTTAACAAAAATAAAACACTACACGTTCAAACACAAGGATTGTGCAAACGCTTGGATGAGAATGATCACTGAATTATGTCGTCCGACCGAAGAAAACCTTGATAAAACAAACAGTGTACCGACATACTCTCAAAAAACAAGTTATGGAATCGCGCTGCCTTGAAACTGGACCTACTTGAACATCTAGTTGTAGCGTACAATTTGCAATCGTATTTTTTTATTTTATTGTTTTATAAATGTATATGTTTACTTATGAATAATATAAACGTGTTAAGTTATTTTATTTAACGTCGTCGAAAACGCTTTGGAATATCTAATAGAAATAGAAAAGATAACTGTTAACATAACAAAAAGTGTATGTAATGGCAACAAGTATGGATAGAAGAGTTCTATGTCGATTAAGGCAAATAAATCTCCTTGACCCCTATTGTGATATGATGATATTCCTTCCAATGGCATAAGTATTCACTAAATATGTTTATAAATATGTATAATTTCCATAACCCGGGTCAACAAGCAAAAAAGCAGCTAGTAAAAACTATTACTTTTTGCCGTACTACTACCGCTATCAGGACTACTACAGGCTACAGTGCAAGTAATATTTTTATAAGAAAGTAAAAAAAAATTAAAAATTAACACACTTATACGTTTAAAATTTTGATATTATGTATTTGTTAGTACCGATCAATATGTTTGTTTTATATTTTAATATAACACCATAATCGTATACATATTTGCAATTATTCCGGAGAAATAATACAATGATGTATTATTGTTTCATCAAAGTTAGAATGGAGTAATCCGAAACAATAAATTGTACCGGAATTTATTCCATTAACATTGTTTCGACTGCCTGCATACAGTTATATATATAAGTACCCTCATTTTTTAAATATGCCAACTACACCACACACATGTTACATATCAAATGAACGTATCAGGTGTGACATGATCACACAGTTATAATATTATCTATTTACTAGATCTTAATAATTTAATAAAACTTACTATTAATTAATTCGTGTTCAATAAATGTGTTTACCGATTACATATAGTAAAACTAATATATTCTTATAACATTATAATAATTTGCATTACTTCTTATTACAAAATACCGATTTTCTTAAGCCAATGGCCTTTTTTTCTTGCATATTTATTTATTTATTTAGACGGGCTGGTAGCCCAATAATTATAATGAAAATTATTATGGTATACAATTATTAAAATACAGATCATCCGTTTAAGAAAGTAAACGATACAAAATACATTAAATCCCTCAATAGTTACACATAGTGAAAGATCGACATTATACTTATTTACTAATTTCATACATCTAATCACAGGAGCATTTATATTAAAACAGGACAATTTGCTTCCCATACGATATAAAAGAGATTAACCATGAAAGGAAAGGGTTTCGAAAACCTAGACAATGTAATTTAACAGTAAGTATATTATGGTCAATTGTGTTAAACGCTTTTGAAAAATCCGTAAACTCAACGTCAACCTGGTGTCCAGATTTAAATGCATCCAAGACGTATTGTTGGAATACTAGAAGAATATAATATGGCATGTTATTGGTGTACAAAAGATAAATAAAATATAACAAACAAAAAAATATATAATAACAATATAAAAGTAGTAGTAATAATACACATACGAATTAATATAAATAAATAAACTACAATATTAGTAATAACAATTATAAGTAGGTGCTAAGTACTATAAGTGGATGTTCCTCCACTAAACATTGTTTTCGGGTATTCCTCAACAATATTCCTAATAGCTTGGGCCTGACCACAGTTGCAGAGAGGAGATTTCCCATTTATGCATTCAATAATTGCACCTACCCTGTCCGGTTCTTATGCGGTTAAGAGCAGTCCATGCTGTACGCGGGTATTCGAAACCTGGGACTTATTGGGTTGGATCACTTATGAGATGGTTATTCAGTACCACTCCATCATTCCAATGCGTATTCCATAAGTCTTCTACTGTGTTTGTACTTATTTTTTAACATCCATATAGGATGTCTAGATTTCAGTCTTTTGTTTGGTGCATTATAAACGTCATCATAATAAATTGGAAGGCTTGGAGAGTTATGTATTTTCTGGATCAATTTTAGCGTTGCTGCGTACCTACGAACTTCTGGTGGGGCTAAGTGTGAGAGTACTAGTATCCACTGCCCACTGCAGCTTAGTTGATTGGATACATCCTGTTATTATTTTCATTGTTCAATTAAGTTGTGCGTCCACAATTTTAGTGTGGCCAAATAGCCAATGGCCTAAAATGCCAAAAAATGTATTTTCTTTTGTTAAAAAAAATACCGACATTTTAGTAATTATTTAATTACTGGTAATTTTATAGTTTCGTACAAGTATTTCGGTATACCGTTTGCAACTGGTATTATGGTAAACAAGCATTTAATTGGATACCAAAACGTTGGTACTAGTTTTAGTACCTAAGACTAGATATATATATATTTATGTCTAGTGAATACCGTCACCTAATACAATTCTTTGACACCACAAATGAATACTCGTTAATATTATATTAACTATAATTTATAATTTTATACGTCATATTATAACATTAGTTTTGTTCACCGAATGATTGTACGTATGTGATGGACCTTGTAAAATATACAAGGCTTAGAATTAATTAACAAAAGGCTAACTATAGTAATCAGTGATTTAATGAAATATTTCATTTTAAAACCAGAATTAAATCAGCTTCTCACGAATTCTGAGCCGACGACCGATTTAACTTGATTTAATTATGATATAGATTTTCTGACGCCAAGTTAACCTTACTCAAATACGTCATATTATTATAATAATGACAATCAAGCTTCTGATCTGATTACATTACCTTTGGATTTAATCGCAGTCATTAAAATGCTAGAAAGAAATCATGATCTAGTTTTAAAATGATGGTCGTAAAGTGTAACGTCATCGGCCAGTCTAATTTAAATATCGTAGTCTTGAAGATTAAAAGAAGAACGCGACGATATGCCATTCAATGTGCGCCAAAAGAAGCGGACAACAATAAAGTATGAAAAATACTAAGGGAAAAAAATCATTCAATAACGGCCGGACGATAGCGATCGCCAGCCATGTATATTTTATATTATTTCGGCTTTCCGGCCTAGGGTGGATGGCGGCCGGAAATAAATAAATATATTATAGACATGCGTGTATTTATTTATATATATATATATATATTTATTTTTATTTACCTTAACGGTCCGCTTTATTTTTTCGCAGCTGTGGAACTTTTGAAAACGATTTTCTTCGCGACCCTTTTGCATTCTCTCTTCCCTTTTTTGTCAGATCGGCCAGATCAGATTACATTTAAATTTATAGACCGCCCGCGGCCGGTTAAAGGTGTTAATAAAGAAAAGCCATTGTATATCAAGTATACGGTATATACACCCTCGGTGGCACGGCAAAGACGGCGGTGCTGATTTCGTAAACATTTGATTTGATTTTTTTTTATATTTTTCAAAGGATTTCTCACTGTCAAACAACGAAGACAGACTTCATCTCGATAAACGACGTCTTCCCCTCCACTTCTAGAGGAAAAGGGTAAGCGTACTAGACGAATATAGGTAATGGCGTAAGTACACGTCGTGCCTATTTCAAATTGGCATTCCCGTGACGTCATAGGTGCGAGACGATACAATTGTTTGGCCAAAAGAGTTGGTTATTTCATTTTGTCGTGACGCACTCGCCAGACGCTAAAACTTGAATAACCTGACTTGTTTCACCACACGTGAAATCGACAAGATATAATATATTATATAAGTATACATTTGGGTACATAATTATGGGTTATCGCTTTGGGCACAAAGAAACGAGTTGACCCGTTTGTCGTCGAAGTTAAACAAATGAGTTCAAGTAGACAATACAGAGAAAACACTTTGCCTCGCAATCCAGCAGAAAAAGGAAACTTAGTCTTCGTCTGATCAGTGAAATAAACAGTGTGTTCTGACAAAGCTTTTATGGTTCCAATTACGGCCCGGCGGCAATTGTCCGAAACTGTAATCATGGAAATAAAGTTTCAAGTTGAGTACCCAAGTCTAAAGGAATTGCTTATATTGTTTGTTTAAACTATTTATTTTGTGTAAGGAAAAAATAACGAATACATCAACTAAAAATATGGCTAAACAATAACGGTCAACATCTGTTGAGATAACTGGGAAAATTTAAGCTTTGTACAGTTTATGTTGAAAAAAAAATCTTGTCCAGTGTGAAAATAGAACAGTAAAAATTAAGCGATCTAATAAGAACTAGCATAGAAGATGTGAAATCCAAGAACAATGTTAAAGCCTCCAACCATTTTAACGAATAGGTTGGATATTTTCTTATAGTTTTACTGTTTATTAGGTTTATAAAACGTCAAACCAGTTTGGAACTACAGGGTGGGGCAAAAGATATGCATCGGTTTTAAAGGGCTGCAGAAAAAAAACTATTCAACCTCGAGAAATGAAATTAATATTGTTCGATTCAGTAGACAATTTAGTTTTTTATATAAAGTTTTAAAGATTACATCACTAAAATGGCGACCGTCAGCAACGATGCACTCTTGAAGGCGATTTCTGAAGTTTTCAACCGCTTGTCGGCACATTCGAATGGGTATAGCCATTATTTCCTCCCTAATTATCTTCTTAAGTTCTTCGAGGTTGTATGGACGATGTTTAAAAACTTTTTTCTATAGGTATCCCCAAAGAAAAAAGACAAAAATGGTCAAATCTGGTTAGCACGCAGGTTTGAAATTGAGACAAATGGACCCGAGCGCCTGGTCTCTCTGAGGGGATACGTGGGGTGGTATGCGCGCTCACGGTCACTAGTTTAGTGATGTTATCTTTAAAACTTGATGTAAGAAACTAGATTGTCTACTGAATCGAACAACATGAACCTCATTTTTCTAAGTTGAATAGTTTTTTTTTCTACATCCCTTCAAAGCGATGCATATCTTTTGCCCCACCCTGTATTTTTAGAATTTTTTGGATTTATACGTGACGTATTTCAAATTTAAAAAAAATCATACTGTGTTTTCTTCAATTTTGAATAGGAAGAAATGACAATATTAAACATTTATTCTTAAAAAACACACACTTGGCGAACGATTTCCTCGTCTATACAAACTACTGTAAATATTATGAAATAAATCCCGATGATTGAACAAAATATATAAAGGAGGACAAAGACACAAATAACAAAGCTCGTAATAATTATTGTCAAACCAATATATTCTCAGCCCCTCATCGATGTGCCACCTACAAATTAAGGTAAATGACTTTCTTTATTACACCACAGAAGAGATGAACATATCTATTCTGTGATTGCGTTTATGGGCACGAATCAAATCAAATAATAGAATGGTTTTCCGAAGCACAGATTGAGAATTTCCAGTTTGAAAATTAATCTTTAAGTATTATATATCTAAAACAAGACGTGATGTAGTATTATAAAATATTCTGTGCGCCGGAAGCTCTTGCCTTACGCATAAACTTCAACCTCTGGGAAGGTCATTAAATTCCCTGTGGTACCATAAATTAATATTTTATATGATTGATGCGATAAATGGTAAAAGTGGTGTTCGATAACGATGACAAAAACCACTAAGCAGAACGTTTTTAAAACGTGTGTGGTTGGTTGTCTAAAATTAATTACATCATATTTATTTTAGGGCCACCGGTGGTTTCGATTTTCAACACTAGTCAAAAAACTTCTGCAGCAATTCGACCTTGAACTTCTGGTTTTCTGTCTTGCATTTAATGTACGTAACACACTTTTCTGCTTTACATGTCGATTGTCGAACCTATGTTGTATTTTGTTAATTGACAGTTGTTTTTTTATATTAAATATAATACCTTATAGTTTTACTTTGTTTGGTATTTTTTATTTAAATTGAATTTCAACTCGCATTGTTTACGACGTGCAATTCAAACTATAATAACACAACGGACAAAAATATTTGGTTGGTCATAAACAGGTACTAATAACTGCTGTGTATCATGTATTTATACAAAAATTCAAACGTATAAAAATAAACGTAAAATTAAATTGTTGTTTGTAAAAATGAAAAATAATGTATTAAGTAAAGTTTTTTTTAGAATAAATTTAAACTATTACAATATATAAATACATATAAGGTCATTACAATGACGATACTGCAAAAATCGTCGGTTAACCATTCGAAAATCATGCAAATATTCTTTTTACATTCAGTATGTAAGTAAAAAACCTGTACTCTGTTACTCGTAAGGTTTGCAATATGTTTTTAAATAATATTTATATTTTAGACATTATTGTCGAATAATGTATATTCTTAAATGTTGAAGTTGAACATAGTATTAAAGAAATAAACCTTTTTAAATCCATATTTTTTGGTGACATGATAGTGGTTTTGTGATGTTAGTTGTTTATTTTTTCTCTCAAAGATAGTTTGGTAAAATAATTAGTATAACACAATATGTTAAAAGCTATGCGTGTTTTTAGTTGTTTTTTTTTTAGTTTTTAATAATATGTTAAACGCAATATGGTGATTGGCCAATAATCGCATTCAGATCAGTCGTGAATCACTGTTGTGTGTATGGGGAATATCTCTTCACGCTGCAAATAAACAGTTATTTTATTCAAATATAATATTTACCAATGGCTAGTGACATTACACAAGTGCCAGTGATGCAAGAACGACGAGAAAATACTAACAATCAGTCCCAGATCCGACCAGCTTCACTGTACCTAGCCACTCAAGTCAAAGATATTAAAAAGGTATAATAGTGATAAGCACAATCTAACGATTAACATTGCAGTGTTAATTTGTTTAGCGTTGAAACAAATGTTTGCATAAATATAGTCAACATACCAACTTTGGTGTAAAATATAGATTTTATAAAAATATTTATACAAAGCATTGGAAAATATAATATGTTTGTATAGCGTAAGTAATATTAAAGTATTACATTACAAATATTCATAAAATAAAATATTAAAAATAATAATAGGTAGGTAAGTAACAACACCAATAGTGAATTGAGTTGGATAAAAACAAAACGTTTAAGGCGGTTTCATTGAGCGGTTTGCGTCTGATTGATGATTCTCATGTTGGACTGATTGTCTTGACACTCTTGAGGCGGCAACACTACTCTCACGTAAAAAATATTCTTGATCGAGTCCGATATGTTGACTGGCAAAATTCTAGAAAATAATATGGTAAACACGATGGATTAGTTTTACAACATATTAGAACTGTTGCGGTGTATTTGATTGAAGTTAATAAGATTTACTTTCTGAGCGTATTTGTGTAATATGATGTCATGGGTACAGAAAATTCAACTTCGTTCCTTAAAATCCCTTTAACTGTAGCTTTAGCCACTTTCTCAACTGACAAAACAGGTAATCTGTAAAATTAATTAAATTATCTATTTTTTTTTTTTATCAGATAGTTATTTCCTTATGAATGGTTGAAATGTAGTTGTATAAAAAAAAAAAATATGTAAAACGCGTTAACTAGAGCAAATAAGATATATTAACATCAACAACGTCGGAGCTCCGAGACACTAAGTTGAATTAGAAAGTATAGCTTTAAATGGAAATTGAAAATATTTCTGGACATTTTTTAAAACGTAGTCGTCCGGTAGAGCTTGACCTCAATAATGGAATATGTCTATTCATATTAATGTGTTCATTAGTTTTCGAGTATGGCTAGATAAAAATGAATAAAAAAAAGGAAAACAATTTTATTCATATTCCGAGTCTCGTTATTGAACAAAAGTGTCACTCTAACCCTTTTGGCTGTCGCCACTTCAATAACCATAAAACTTATTCATTGGAAACAATAGCTGAATACAAACAGAATGGTTATTGACACGATAGGGTATGGCTGTCAGTCAATAATTATTTGGTTACAGTTTTACCTGGTATTGATGTATTTCATGTAATCAGCGCTGGTATTCATTAAATATGGCTCGACAATAGTAGTCTGTATGTTGGTTTCAGGATGACTTCTGAGTTCTTCTCTGAGACTTTCCATCATGCCTAATAACATTAACACGTGTTGAGATATTAATAACCTGACTAATGAAGATGCAATTAGATCACAAGAATTCCCTAATGTAACTGTCGATTTAATCCTTTGATGCGGTTTCCAGTAAAATCATACTAAATGAATACGGTTTTACTGGTTTTAGAAAAGGCTCTTTGCGAGGAATATTCTATAATTAACCACAGCAGGACTTTTATTGAATTGGCTATATAGTTCAAAACCGTAAATGAGTGGTGCATTAAAGTCACAAAAATGTAACTATATGAAAATTGACACTTTTCACGGAATTTGGAAATTGTTAAAGAACGATAAAACGAAAATTGAAAAAATAAGTTAATTCCTAAAACATTTAATTTCGAAAATTACCACAAACTGTTTCCTGTGATAGGCACAAATCCCAAAACACATTTTTTGCAAGCAATTTCTTTCTTACGCAGTCATCATATGTACTATCCATTTTAGCTACTTTCGGGTTTTTATACCTCCTATTTAATCGCTAACGCTCGCTTCTCATACACCTCAAAATAGTTTTAAAAAAAAATAATAATTTCGTTTCAATATAATAAACACACAACACAACATACTTGCACGGTAGTTCACGACTTGTTCATTTCGCAAAATACTTAAATGGCTCTTTCCTCCTTATCTCTCTGTAGCCTATTTTCTTCAAAAAACCCGCCTTGCGCGAATTAATTTTACAAAGGCTGTAATCAAAACTAAGAAACCAAATTTTCACATAATATAGACAACAACATTTACTGTGTTCTACCATAGCCCTTTTTTTAATATTTCAACCAGTTAATGAATAATTAATTAATTAAGAAAGGACTTTTTTAAAAATGATATAGCGTTGGTTGTATTAGATATATCGAAAAAATACGGATGATAGAACACAGATAATTCTGTCATAAATAATATGTATGAATTTCTTTCCTTAACGATACATGAGGCCTGAGAAAAATTAATCCGCGTAAAATTCAACTCAACAGAATTGTTTTTTTTAAATCACTGTTAAGGATGCTGTGATAGTCCGAAAAATAATTTAACTACTAAAAAAAAATTAATCTAAAAATAACGTTTTATGCGCCTTAAAAAGTATAAAATAACCCTCCGGAGGTCTTGATAACCAAATAGGACAGGTGAACTAGAAAAACGTGGGGCGCATCTTTCTACTTAGATATTAAAACCTAAGCTTTCATGCTAATGCATTAAGTTGTTTCTCATAATGCTGTCTCTCTAACCGAACGGATCAGAAAGTGATAGTATGACTTTTTATCGGAAATGAAATTTAATGGATTTCCGTGCCACTTGCCTTAAATTTCATTGCAAATTGAAAAGACTTAATTGCTATTCTCTCCAAAGTTTGTTTTATGTAGGTTGCTTCAATTTTTTTTTGTTAACTACCTACTTGCTTAGTAATGTGGTGCTCAATTTTACATGACATGTCATTAAGTATTATTTTATTTAGAAGAGAAAAGATGATTGTGCATGAATTATGAGTTAAGGTAGTTATTAATGAGAAGAGAATGTTATTATATTTTCAGTCGTGTGAAGTAGTAAAGATGCGCCCCACGTTTTTCCATTTCACCTGTCCTATTTGGTTATCAAGACCTCCGGAGGGTTATTTTATACTTTTTAAGGCGCGTAAAACGTTATTTTTTTAATCTACTTTAGTTATTTTGTTCTTTTTCGTTTTCATACTACAATATTATATAATAAAATCCGTCCTTGGAATCGGACTGGACTGATTTACTACGTCTTTGGACATACATTAGAAAAGGCTGCATGGTCAGAAGGGTTATCATAAGAATTAGTAATCAATTTAAAAGCAATCAATTTAATTTTAGATTTATTACTGTATAAATTATCATAAAATTGAAATTAAGTTGATTTTACCATTAACGCCACATTTGCTGGCCGTGTACGCTGAAAGCTTTGCCAATCCACTGAGCGACGCAGTAGATGAAATGGCCACAATGTGACCACTATTCCTTTTCATCATGCTCGGCAGGAACGTACGGATCATCTGTATAAAATAAAAATGTAATTTTACTTGTTGCATGTTTGTCGATTAGTCATTTTTTACACATAACAGCTATATGCACACAACAGTAGGTATACACATTTCCCCCCTTTGTTTAATTAAAACTAATTGCGCGGTAATCAATCGATTTAGTAAACATATTAAATCAGGAGTACGGCGTACGTTTATTTTACATATATTTTTATATTTTTTAGCTGGCAGAACAAAAAAAATGTATTCGGATGAACTGAAGTAATGTTTACCGCGTGAATTTAATTTGGAAAATTCTATTTACTCGGTTGTATTTGTATTGGTTTTAATCAATTGAAAGGTTTTTTTTGCGACAACGCTGCCCCATACGTCACGTGCGTCTGGAAATTAAGGTTTGAGCGTGTTTTTTTTACTGAAATAACATATCATATTAATAAAAAAAAGTAATAGCAATTTTCATTACATAAAATTATTCAACTGCAGTGGATCAGCTACATTCGTTGCTCGGATTATGTATTGTTTATTTTGTTATTTAAACAATAATATTGATTGATGTGTACACATAGAGTTTGTGTACTTACACTGTACTCGCTATTGACGTGTGTTTAACTAAAATTTATTGAGATACTTAAGGTACTGTTTGACTTGGTACGTTTAGTAATAAGGTGGTCCTTATTTTGGGTTTGGTAGGATTTCAATGGGTTGCCCTTTTAGGTGGTTCTAAATGGATAAAAAAGCTCTACAGTTTCAGTATTGGTAATTTTGTTATTAGTACGTGCCTCGCGGCTCTTTCTGTTGACAATTGTTTTTACGTTTATTTCCCAAAAAAATAATGGCAAATGTTAAAAAATTGAATTTCCCAACATTTTGAGTGACATATATTTTTGAAAATGGTTTGTGCAGAAAATTTAACACTAATGTTTTACGGGAAAAGAAATGATAAGACCAACGATTTTGAGATGTACAATGTTTTTTTTTTTTCCATTTTGAACCAATTTAGAGGCTTCCCCGCTGAAATTCCACCAAACTCCAAAACAAAGACCACCCTTAACTATAGTTATACAGGACGTACCCAAAAATGACCGAGTAAGTTGATATTGATGATGGACGAGATAGTTTCGTCTTTGGCGCCCAAGAAGGTGTGGCCAACTATGACGGCCGCGTTGTTGATCAGCACGTCGACTTGGCCTAGGTCTAATGCAACGTTCACGGCCAATGCGGTGATTTCGGCCCGGACTGCCACGTTTACCTTGTAAGTCTTCACAACGGCTCCAGGTACGGTTTTGGCGATCAGCTGAGCCGTTTCTTCGTTGCCTGCCTGGTCGACGTCGACGCACGCCACTTTGGCGCCCAACTTGGCGAACTCCAACGCCAGTTCGCGACCCAGACCTCGGCCAGTTCCCGTTACCTTGAATTACAAAGCAAAACAACAATTTTGAACTCGACAGGACTTAGTAGTTGGATTACAACGGTAACATGTGGCAGTGATGAGCGTGGTACCGTACAAGAATACCAACTCAACCGTACATCGGTGAGTTCGAAGGGCCAAAATAGGCTTGACTACTTAATTGATCGCAAGATTAGGTCAAGACAAACCAAGTGATAATACATCTGCGTTGATTTAAAGAGGTTGACCTTAAGCCTATGTACTCTACATGTCGATAAGTACATGACACGCACAGTCAATCATAAACCACAAACGCGTTTGATTCGATTAAATTATCAACGGTATTGATCCTATAACAGTTTTTTCTAAAACTTTATTATAAAGAAAAATTACTGTTGTACATTTTTTAATCCAACTAATTATTTGTACATTGTTTGAAAACATTTAACACATTACTACAACTATTTAACAATATAGTTTGATAGTATAATACAAAATGGATAAAGTGATGGAAATTTATAAATTAATAACTATTGTTTTACTTAATATTACGAATTAAAGAGGTTTGTTAAATTTTATAATTGATGTTTTACATAAATTACTCCCCTTTGTTTGAAGGGAGTTTTAGAAGGGTAAAAATTCTGAAAAGGGTGCTACAAATTGGTACTAATTATAATAAAATTATTGGAAACCATTTTTTTCGAATTTTCAACATGCGGGTGCTGGGTTAGTTTTAGTTTTAGTTGGTCGAAGTCCTGTTTCACATAGTTTGCTGGGTTATGCACCTTGTTTACTTATCAAACATGTTACTTAAAATTTAATTTAAGTAGACATTTTTTCTATTTAAACAAAGGAATTTTATCGTTATTTCATTTGTATAAACCCAAATTGTTTCTGACATTGCACTGTTAGCATAATATACATCATCACGCTTAAATTCAATCAAATGTTCTCAAACATGAATAGTTATCAGGATATTATTATAACCACCTTTTAATTAGCAATGACTCAATTAAACATGATAGCGAAAAGCTCTTTATCGAACGAAACGAGTTAGTAGGGTTTATTATAGCGTTAAGGTGGGTACCTGTTAATTAGCACGTGTGACTTAATTTATTTAAATCCATCATGTCTTTACAACGTTCAAGGCCAGTTTTGACATAGTGACACTTAACTTGTACGAGAACGGCTTCATTGAAAATATATTGCTGACGTTTAGTTGAATCGGTCAAGTAATTGGATAATAATAATAACGAAGTAATATTCAATCTTAAAGCATCGAGAAGTTAAAATAATAAATAACACAGAGTTTATGATTTATACTTGCATAACTTCAAAGCAATATTTCTACAATATAATATTTATTTTATTAATTAATCAAAACTTGTAGACCGTGTATTTCCACCGTTTGCACGACTTAAGGTTATTCCCCAATGTGTAAAACGAAGGGACTAAAAAACAAGCAGCCGAACTGCAACCTTAGGGATAGCTCTCGGAGATTAACCACAGTCGTGTCAATGGTGTGATATTACTCTTAATACTTGCACACATAATTTCGTTAAAATATTATAGTATTAAATATCACGTTAATTTGTATTCTATTATATTATCAATTATTATTGCTTGGCCTGAGTTAAGTAATTAAAAATAAATACAAGACCAATATTTGAATTTAGGCCTTTTTTCAATTTATCCTATTCGATTATATCAAACAATTTTTTCATTGAAGTATTCAAAATCGTGATAATTTTGTTTTATTGACCATATACTCTCTTGTTCATCATCCAATTTGACTCCAATTTGGGTTACTTCAAACATATATAAGAATTGATTTCTTTTATAAAAAAAGAAAACAACGAATCGTTACACACTTATTATCTTAAAAATATTTCAAAAAGAGCATATTATCAACAAAGATTATTTAGTATATTATCTGTATAGCTTACTAGTACAACATTGTCTTTGACGGATTTGCGTGCTTGTGGTAGGAACACTCGCAACATCTTAAAATATATCGTGACTATGTACATATAGTAAATAACAATAATTTCAAATACTAGTACAATTGGATTTTTTACACATCCTCTCGACGACGAAGGAGGTGCTAAGGGTTGGGGTTTACTTTGATCGGGTGCATTAACCATGGCTTGAGTTGGTATCTGGAAAAGAATAGAAATTACAAATTAAAGTTTTATATTTAGAAGTTATAAGTTTCAAAAGTTGATAAAGCTCTATAAAAGACCAAAAGATTAGTTTAAAAAAGAGTTTTGTATTATAATAATCATTTAGACATATCGGAATTGTTTTTACGCTGATGTTGCACTTAAAGATAATCCAAACGATATTGTAATTTGTACATCAATATTTATATATTTTTTTACTACCTATAATACTAAAATCCATACAGTCAAAATAAAGTCAAACGCTTGTAATAAATGATTGTTTTAATTAGGCCCTAATAAAAATAGCTGTACAACCGGAGTATTCAAGGTAGTAGAATATACTTTTTTTGTGATGCATAAAAGGCCTCGATTACTGAGGTCATTGGCTAATCAATTCAATTTGTAGGTAATTAAAATACAATTTTTAATGTACAAAACATTTATTATTAACCTTTAACTATTCCTAGATATTTAATTAAGTAAATTTCCTTTAGAAAAACAAGTGTTTTGTGTAATGTAAAACAAAAAATGTACAGATGTTTTTTGTTCTTGATTTTTAATCAAGTCCAAGAGAAAGCGTTGTTGGTTCGTACGCTTTAGAAATAATTTCCGACTTAAATTTGGTTTCCTAATGTAGGTGTTAATTTATTTTGAAAGTTTTGCCAATGCCACCTTGTACCGAGCAAAAATATTAATATAACTATATTTATCGGCAAACAAAAGGCCGAGGGGATGAATTTCACGGTAGTATATTGTATTGTTATACTGAGAAAATCTTGTAGCTTTAACCGAAAAACCAAGGGTAGTATACGAAACGCAGAAACGCTGTAATATATCACCGAGACATCTGCAACATCACAACCGATTACAACGGTAGCTCGAAAGTAGGCAACAAAGAATTACTCTGAAGTCATGACCAGTGGAAAATGTTCAAGACGAAAATCATGTTAAGAAGTATAGTTTTGCACGATTTAAAAAAGATAGCTCGAATGTAAAACTAAAAAAAATATCATATAAAAGTTGTTCAAGCCCTGTTCAATCCAGGACCTGTGCAAAAGTTTCGAACAAACATAATTCTGTTTTTATACGGTTCTACTACAACTTGGCTAATGATTTATCAAATAATATTGTACCATTATTAATCGACCGTTATATTATGTCGGATTATTTCGTACGTATTTTTTATTTTAACTATATTATTGTAGCAGATTATTTATAGAAAAAAACACATGAACAAAAATAAATTGATTTTTCAATAATTCTAGACCGTACATTATATAAACATGCCTTATAGAATATAATGTAAAATACGGAGAAGAAAATATTTAAAACAATGAATGATAACTGATAACGACAATTTCAATTTGCAACAAATCTATTAATTTTCTACATTTTCTCCGAGTTAATTGGTGTTCGATAAAAAAAATATAATGTTAGTATATTGTTGTAAGTAAACCCGTTTAAATAAAAATTAATTCCGTTTACGTGGAAATCATTGTTTTCGGTTTAACATACAGGTTTATCGGCAATCATTAATTTGTTTTTATTAAAATATTATTGTAACCCGTCGAATATTATAAACAATTTATCATAGAATACAACACTTGTCGTGCACCGAGAATTCTTTTCGCTTATCGCGTTTATTATATAGTATAATATATTAACACCGAACGTATTCCAATTGAGAATTTGCTTAAATCCCTCCCCATTTATTTACCTATCCGCTATATACCACCGCAGTTCCCTCTTCAGATGTTTATTCACCGTGGGTGTTCAATGGATTTCATTAAAAACTCGGCAAAAAAGAAGAGCAGGGCGATAAGGTGTAATTCACTTCTATACAAAGAAAAAAATCGTAAACCACCCTCATTTTTTGTGAAAATTCCGTTTATTTGGCCAAAGCACATATTTTTCAATTATCACAAGGAAACTATTATTTAATACGTCAAGTATACGGTTATTCAAATCCCAACACATCAGGCTATAATAGTGATTTGTGATAATCGATAGTGTACGTTTTTTTTTTTTTTCAAATTAAATATTAGTTTTTATTAACTAAAAAGATTTGGCTCGTTAATATTCCAATCGTGATTGACTCTCTGTTTGTATTACGGTGTATGAGTGTAGTTATTTTTTGTCATCGAAATTACTTCGATAAAATAACACGCGGCACAAGTCATCGGTTTAGTTTAAAAAGATCCCAGATTTACAACGTTTTAAGATTCTGTCCGGTTTTTAAAAATCTGAATACGTTTTTTTTCCAACCAAGACGTTTTCTACTACAAACTGTACAATTGCAGATATTGTAAAAATTATTTTTTCGTTACAACACGCCGGCGTGGAAGATGGAAGACACGGGCAAACGGTGGAGCCGCGGTTGTCCTGTTGTGATTAAATCTAAAACCACCGCACCGGGGCCAGCGTTGAACGAGAAAACCGCTGACTTCTCGGGGCGGCAGCCGTTGGAAAAGCGCTAACGACTCTGTCCGGGTCCGAAAAGCACGCGTCCGCACAATGGGACGCAGATTGAAAAGATGTTCACGATTATATTTAATATATATATATATATATACACACACACAGACAGACTTACGTAGTTAGGATGAAAAACTACGGGAAACTAGTACAGCCAGGAGTGGCGGACGAACGGCATGCGAGAGCAGAGGTCGCAATGTATATTAGGGAGAAAATGGTATAAAAGCGAAAAAATAAGAAAAAGAATTGCGGCCTTTCCATCTGCACCCTCCGCTGTTTCTGTGGGCACTATATATATACACCGCTGTCTTCGTTTACCCCGCGGACGAGCCTGGTGCTCTTTATTGGAAAAAGCTACAACGCAAAAGTCACGAATCAATTATAAAAAAAAAAAATATATATATATATAATGTTGTTTGTAAGGTGAAAACGAAACGGCATAATTTCGCATTAAGTTAACTTGAATTTGTTGTTTCAAAATTAACTCATTAATAACTATTTTAGGAGATATGTTCTCTTGCGAAATATAATAAATACTTTTAGGTATGAAAATATTAAATCCCAATTAGAGACGAAGAGTTTTTATTATAATTTATATTCAACTTAATTAATTAATTTTGTTGAAAATAGGTTTTAATTAATATTTAATTTTAGTTAACTGAAAACTTAACCCAACATCAACCTGCAACGCAAAACGGTTTTAAACAACCAACCAAAATAACCAGACCTTATTTCTATTTTCACGTATTAATATTAAAAAAATAATTAATAAGTATAATTATATAAATACAAATATGAACATTGACACGCCTTTGAATTTGATACAAAATAATTATTCACAAAATATATAGTTACATTTTTAAATAGAAATGATTTCCCTAATAGATGTTAATGGTTAAAAAAAATTAACATCGAGCACCTAAACACTATTTACACTCAACGATAGTATATAAAATATGCCTACATCACTATTACAAAGAAACACTTGTTCAGTATAGGTAATAGTTACTAAGATAAAAATAGAATTATTTTTTTTGATTTCACTATTATCAATTATAAGGTAAATATAAATGTAATTTCTTTTTTTAGGAAAAAAAATTGTAATTGAATTGAACATCCACATTACTGACAACACTCGATTGTCTTTTCTTTTTAATATTTCATCCACTTAAATACATTATTTTATTCTTTCATTTGGCTTACAATTAACAATTTATACCATTAACCGATATCGTGTAGAACCAATTAAAAACGTAACAGATATTTTATCTTTTTTTTTTTTTTATGCAGTTTGAATAACAGTGCATTAACATGTATTATCACTTGTGATAGTTAGGTGTATTCACAGGTCGTCTCAAATTATTTCAATAACATAAAGTTGATATGCATAAATGAAAATTATTGATAAAGTATATACTTTGTGAATAACAAATAGTGGTTCAATTGTAAAGTAATAATTTTGGTCATTTTCAAGTCGTCGTATTTATAATTTGATAAATATGATGTTTATTCCATACTTTGTATTATCATTGTATATTGTTAACTGTCAATATGTCAACTATCATAATAATATATGCACAACAAAAATTATACAAAATTGTTTTTAAAGTCTAACAAACTATATTGCGCTGTTCCGCTAATGCATTACACTTTTCGACCACGTTTTCCCAAATGACGTTTTCGGTTTCGTCGAATATTCCAAAATAATCATTGACATAGCGAAATGTCAATGTCAGATACACTCTAGCTCAGTGTATAACAGTAGTAACAACAATAATTAATAATGTATGAGCTCAGGCAGGTCCATAACGATGATTTTCCAATGTTTCATCCTATATACTGTTTTCGAACCAACTCAAATGCCAAATACCTTCCTACCTACCGTTTCAAAAGAAAAAAATAGTTTTACGTGACCTCGACTTGTCAATTGAAATAATAACTGACGTGAAAATATATTATAAGTATATATTATGTAACAGATTCGGGCACATTGATCAATGTTTTTCGGAAATGCCTATGAAACAGACTCTCGTGCCGGTGTTTCAGTATAGATACATACATTAACCCGTTAAACGAAAATCATGAAAGGCCACGCTATATTGTTTTACATGTGCATCCGCGGTAGTGTACGTTTTACTCCCACAGGAAATTTCCAACTATTGTCCGCGGTGTTAAAGGGGGTTAAATCAACAAAAAAAATCAAAAAAAAAAACCACACATTTTAGATGTATAATTGTATGCTATCAAACACACACACAAAATAAAAGGCACTCCGTCACTGTATAATATAATGTCCGGTCGCCAGCTGTAAAGCGGAACCGTTGTAAGGAAACTCGAACAAACATGACGCTGATATCTTTTGAAAGAAAACAAAATTAACCTCTTCACTCATTTGACATATGCCACGGTGTGTGTGCATGTGTATTATTATTTTCTATTATTATAATGTATAAGATTTAGGTATGTAGACATGTATATTTTTTTAGCGCTACACACGAATTATAGACTCTCTTGAAGTGCCGCTTATCGTTTTTTCAACAGTATCTGATCGTCGTTACCCCTTTTGGAATACAAGGGGTGTTGTACTTATGTATATTTTGCTGAACCGGATGGGGGTAGTGGAGAAAACGTTATTGTTCGCTTGCAATATTTCCAACTAGCATATTTTATCGAATCTCTGTTGTGTTGTGTGCGAATTGAATTTGCCCGCGAAACCGTAAACGATATTATTGAACGTTTTTCTATTATACGTTAACCGTCACATCAAAAACAAAAACGGTTTACGTTAAACCGGGTAAACGCATGCTGTAAAAACGCTATTATTCTAATATTACAACAACAACAAAAACTAAATAAGCCAGCAAAAAGTGGGGCTCGGGATGTGGGGGGACGGACCGTATATTGGGATCAGTGAAGTCACGGGTCTTCAGGAATTATTATACCCGAAAGTGATTAAATCACTTTAATAAACGTTTCGATGCGAACCTGTAGATGGTAGAAATATTAAAAATCGTCAAGAGCATTGTAAAATTGCAAAAATGTGCTTTTAAGTTGTATTTATAGTATTAAGGTTGATCGTCTGTTTTCCTGTTTTTTTACTGTTAAATCACGCGTAGTATCCAAGAAATTGAATACGGCCAAAGTGTGAAATCATTATTTTTTTGGGTTTCTTAAAAAAAATTGTTGTATAATGTATACAAATTGAAAAAAAAAACTTTTATGTACAACCCCATTCTAATTTTCAGATTTTAAGTCTTAAAACTATTCTGTAAAAAGTGAAATAAGTTTCTCTAGGTATATTCATGGTACTAAATAATATAAAAAATATTTCATTCAATTTAGAAAATAATACACTATTTTTAAAAAAAACATAGTGAGCCGTAATTTTAAGTTGACAATAATATTTGAATTTTTAGGCGTTTTTCTCGATTTCGAGTGGGAAAAATGGACTTTTAACATTTTTGCTTAATAAAGTACCTTTCAGATACAATTTTTGATTTATTGCCTTGATAATTAGTTCAGCAGTTTAAACTATCATGGGGTTAGGCACAAAAAAAAAATATTATAAATACTTTCTCAGCTACGCATTGAGGCTAAAATACAAAAATAATACATAACATTGTGTTGTCAATTTTCAACATTCATAACGTTAGGGTAGATTTATAAAACTGTTTTACTTAGACAAATAACAGTATAATATAATCGCATCTGAGTAATTAAGGCCAATATATTATATTTATACAAATATTATTATGACAATAAAATTATGACCTTAGTAAACCTACTTATTGTAGTCAATATAAATGTGTGGACTAAGATGTATTATATAGGTGTATATATAGGTGTATTATATATATACAGCAGTTGTATCCGAACGTTAAACATACATGAACGGTGTTATAAAATATAAAGCGAGTAAGCGACCATCCTTCAATTTTTTTCTTTCATTTAGCTATTTGTAAAAATACAAAACCATTCAGGCGGTTTCAAAACCACCAATAGGTAACGCAATACTTTGCTTTATTACTTGATTTTTTTTTTTACAAAAAAAAAGTAAAAGTTTTCTATATGGTTTTAAATTAAACACACTGTATGTGTGGGTTTTATATTATGTGACAATACTAAAAGCAAAAAAAAAATATTCCTACAGACAATAGGTTCTACACTGGTTACAGAGAAAATATATTTTACAAACGAAAATCCTCTGTAGGCCGTAAATCAATTCCCTTGGACATCCAAAATTGTGTGGGGTGCCAAAATATAAAAAGAAAATAACAATACTATAAGAATAGGACAAAGATACAAACGCAAAATAAAAGGCATATTTTTGCGTTTGGATACACCCGGTAGTTTAGCGTACAAGTTTATTAAAAAGACACTATGGGTGTGTATTGTACATAATATACTATAAATACTATATTTTATTATTCACCTATTCACCGTGTTCATCCCAACGGCCAACGTCATAATACATTACTACACAATTTTACTGTGTAAAAAAAAATGCAATTTTATTTTTTCACAATAAATCTTAAAACGTTATCCGTTTTTAGGTAGTTCACATATATTGTATTAAATAAAAATTTATAGATTTAAATAAGATACATAGATGAATTCATAAATATGGTTAATAATAGTTTAGCTGCATAAATCCAATCATTTAATATTATGACGTATACGATAAATTCATTATTACTGTTGTTCTGATAATTTTATAAATTGTATTAATTTTATTAATACATGTTTACAAGTTTTTTCTAAACTAGTTTAACCTACAAACACCTCAATATTTTTTTTTTTAAACGTATACGTATGTCGGAACATTATACTACACTTTGATTGTAAATTCTAATTTAACTTTAGTTTGTAAATTAATTAAACTAAGAGCTAATTATTAAAACAGTTATCCGGATTTTATTGATAGATTCATTTATATGTTTATATAATTATTATTTGACCTTGTCTAGGAAACACAACAATTCATTTTTAAGGTTTAACTTGTACACTTAGCTTCAAAGATAAACTTGTATTGAAATCGAAACGATACAAGGAAATTATAATAATGTTTGCAGAGTTGTTACAAGCAAATAACAGTTTTTTAAACATTTTAATCTATATCGTTTTTTTTTTACCAGCGAGACTAAATTATTTAAACCTACTGTGGAAGATCCATTTTTGGTTTGTCGATTTCTCTGAGGTCTGTTGTACTTGCCGTTTCCGTTTCTCTTTCTATCGCCCATGTGCACAAGTTAAGGTAGTCAATTTTTAAGAAAACCCAACAACGGCAAAACGAATGCGCAACACACATTAATCGACACAGACGAAGTGTTAGTGAACATACTAATATTTTTTATCGTTTCTCGTCTCGTTATAATAAACATATTTTTAATCAAACACAGTGTACCTCGTTGTGTTTTATTCATTTCCATTAGCGGAGCATTAATCACAGTTCATTAACAAATGAACTTTATCAGGTGAGTCTCAAAAACATAATAATAAAATATAACAATATAATATGCGTATAATAATATATTTGATATATTATTACTGTTTGTACTTCAGCATTACTCTAAATAAACGATTTTGAATATAAAGATTGAACAACTAAGTATACCGTATAGAATAATAAATTAAAAAGTAATAACATTTTCCTTATAAAATTTTGTAATGATAATTACACGAGTTTAAGTCATTATACTCGACTATAATTAAATTACTATTAAACAAGGTTAGTTTAATTGTACATAAAGTACGATAAGGTATATTATATTGATGTACATATTTTACTGTCTACTTGGTAATAGTAATACTACTAGATTACCACATGACAGTTACAATTGGAACCACATTTGGTAAACAAACTATCTAATTCACTTAAAATGTTTTTAATTTGATGATAATATGAAATAATACCTCTATGTGCCGCAATTAGCTGCGTGTTTTTTTTTTTTTGATAATGATAAAATATTGTTGGTACGAATAAATAAATTTGATTTAATTTGATCTACATACGTTTATATAAATCAGGCAATAAGTCTAATAAAGAATCAAGCATTGGAACTTTTTAACACATTACAATTATCCAGAAAGGGCATGTGTACACTGTACAATAATATAATATTATTGTATGCACTAAACTGGAACACTGTTCGGATACAAATTTTAAAAGTTCTTATTTATTTAGTAAAGTTAATATTTAAATACATTTTTTTTTATGCCACACCAGTGTTTGATGGTTTTTAAGGTGTGTGTAGTGGGTTTTAGCTTGCTCGACATATAGACTATAAAAAATATTATCAACCCGTTTCCGTCAATATTGTTATTACCGATTATAGGCCTTATACTAATATTGTTCAAATACGAATTTATAATGCTAAATACTGAACAATTGTGTTTCATTAAAATAATATTATGTACTTACATATTGTGTTTATTGCAGATTTCGGTGAAAAAACTCGAGGGTGGCCTCAATTTAAAACGTCTGTCGAAATTGCATTGCTTGCCGTAGGTAGGCTGTTTAGGAACTAAATGATACTATGTCTTTTGCGGGTGTGTATTTAATGTAACCGGTTTGAATTAAAGCTATCGAACAAGCTAAATATAGTTTGAATTTCCAAATGCAGAGCGTAATTTGCCACCGACTTATAGATAAAAAGTATAAAATTCAAACGATTATTATCCTCGAATAACAGTATCTGATTAGTATTTCTCGGTAATATAATTAATAAACGCTCGTGATGTATATACATACTGAAGCTGAACTCACCACCTATGTTGTAGTATATGAACGGTAAGTATAATAACGTATGAAATAATATTTGAACGTCGAATCACTTAACTATACTTCCAAAACGACAAAAAATGTATTAGAAAAATTATCCCTATGTAATAATGGTGCGGTTCTTATTTTATTATTATTACAATTCTATAATAGAAGTAATAATATTATAGTAATTTGATAAAATTAAATGTATTATTTACTTGGGAAATTTCAAATTATTTTTAAACATATTACTGTTTATTTCATCGACATTTATAATTATTTTTGTAATAGCGTTAAAAATAATTACAGTTAAAAGTTAAAATATATTTAGATTGATTAACATTTTTATACATATTTATTATAAATAACTAATAAGCATAAGAAAATAAATTATAACTGAGCAATTAATGCTCTTATTAGCATTTCATGAAATATTCAATAAAGTTTTTGTAACAAGAACATAGGTGTGTATGTAAAAATTTCCTGGTCTACTTCAGTTTCCTGTAAGACACGTACCTACTCAATAATATTATACAGCCTATTATATATATTATTTACTAACCTACCGGTTGTAAATACATAATACAGCTGATACTTAATGCAAGTCTAAAAAAGCTTATAATATTAGTTTTTGATTAAAGGGATTCCATGCAGTTTGTTTTTTTGACGTTTTACACCTAAATTCCAGACAAAAATTCGGCTACTTAGGATGGTCCGATTTATATTCTGAAAAAATACACGAGTTCTTTGGCGACATTAGTAGATTATTACTGATTTCCTACATAAGTAGGAAACAGATGTTTCTTTTTTTGCTTTTTTTATGAAAAAAAATTAAGTTTTTATACTGAAAAAAATTGAAAATGTAATTTATTTAATTACAAGAATCTGAAATTTTGAAATGAAAATTAGTTTTCTACATAATATAGTAAATTAACCAAAAAACACGAATCTTTTTACGAAATTAAAATTAACGATCCAATGTAGTCAACATTTGCTTGAGTTTTTACTTGAGTTTGCTTGAGTCTAAAATAAACCAAAATGGATTTTGCTCGTAGAAAAAAATATTAAAATAAAAAATAATACCTTGAAGCTTATACAAATTAACCGGTAAATTAATTGGCACGCGATCAAAATGTAAATACCTTTTTTTTTCTTAAATGTTGCCTATACAAAACTCCTTAAAAACAGACCGCATGACCTTAAGTTAAAACTAAAATTAATTAATACTTACTCTCAGTGCAGTAGTCAGAAGAGGGGACATGAGCACGAGATTTTAGGATTATGTACACACGACAGTGTCTGTTATAAATTAAACCTGAATCTTTCTAGTATGTTTTGCGTTTAAAGTAGGTGTTAACAGAATTCTGATGTCTCGGATTCTTTATTTATCTCACCAGACAACATTTTAAAATTGATACCAAAAACCAATTTAAGCAATTTTTTGTGTTACACATTGAACTTTTTTTTAAAACTCGTTTTCAAAAAATTATATAATATGTTTGGTTTTGTCGATATATTTTCCCTGTTCAACGAGGAAACTCCTATAAAATGAATTTGATTTTGTTCTTGTTTTATTATTTTATTATACAAAATTAGACATTAGTAATTGCTGTATAGTATGATTCTTAAATAATAATTAATAATGATAATAAAAGCGAGAGTCCTCGTTTTAAATGTCAAATGTTTAGACGACTACAAGTACAAAGTTTTTTATAAATAGATATCCTTCAAACCATTGAATTTTTGGAGAGTCTACCGGTTCTATATTCAAGTAGGTATCTTTATAGTATCTAGTTTCATAATTTAGACTCGTATTGAAATATTTATTTAAAATAACTGCTTCAACTTCCGTGTTTTAACAAAAAATATATGTTAAAATTATGTTAAAATAAACGCCCTGAATTCTGTTTTATTTATTTTAGGTAAAAAACGAATTAAAAAAAATCACGTCGTACCTACCTACATGGATCTAATGCGTTTTATTCTTTGACACTTCATTTAGTATTAAATATTTGAATTTCTGATTGTATTTATTACAATTTATTTTGTCCACGATTTTTGCAGATTGATTTTTAAATCAGTACCTAAAAAATGATGCCAGTTTATTTACAATGAAGATTATTTCCATCTCACATTTAACACATCCCACCACAACAATATCTGATAATATTTAGGGTTAAAAAAAAAATGTGAAGTAAAATGAATTTTATTACGTGCATTAATTATGTTGAAAAATAACACAACCCGTAGTATTCGAAAACGTATGATAATTTGGTTTTTTTATAATAATCAAAATGATATGCTTATACATTCGTCTCACTTAGTTACAGTAATAGGCTTCTCAGTGCCACTAACGGCCACTAATAATAGTAAGTATAGACTGTATCATGTACATATATAGTGCCACTATATGTGCAAATTCTTTTGGCATACTGCAATATTATTCTAGTCGGTTTTGTATTTTTCTTACAACAGTTATAGTTATAGCGGGTTATAATATATGATATTCTTTTTTTCTATGCTTGGTACGGTTTTTTTGGGGACAGTCCAAAATAAGTCCCTTTTATAAAAAAATCTTTCTCTATATTTTACGTTTCCATTTCGGACCATATAATATCTGGACGGGTTTATGTTTATTGTAAAACATTACTTATTCTTATTGCGTGACCCATAGAAACCCATCACGAATTACGCATAGGTACTGCACGGAATATATCATCTGCTCAGCAGCGTCTTACCATCTTATATACAATATGTTATGTTACTGTATACATTTTCTTTCGATCATTTCATTTTCATAGATAAACATTTTTATTTTTCATTAAATTCTTATTTAAATATACATATTATATAGCTTTTGCTTTTATTATATTGACTGAACTGTGAATCTTACTGTTTATAAAGTGTTTTACCGACTAAACCTTCTTCAAAAATAATACTCTATGAACTATACATAACATTATATTGACTATTTAAGCAAGTTTAAACGTTTTGAAAAATCTGTATTGATATAGGATAATATTAATGAAACGCCCTGTACTCTCCCTGTAAGTTGTGCAACTGCGGCAAGATCGTATTACCGGTTGAGACTTATCAAAACATACCCCTGGTTAACCATAACTGTTGTGGATACTTCGTCATAGCGTATAAATAAATATTGCTGGAGGTATAATAACAATGTTATTGAAACCTTCGGAAAAATTAAAAACAAGGAACAATTTTAAATTTAAGAATTTACATTTTAAAAGTGATGTTTACCCTATCAATTGTTGTAATTTTGTTTTTAACAACCAACGTTATTTAGAAAAAAAAAATAGGTACATCACTTGTTTTTAACAGTTTCATGGCCTCTGTTAAATGTCGCTGACCTACCGTTTTAACTTCCTAGACACGCCGTCGTATCATAGACCTTGACGAGTATATCCCGTAATAGTATACTCGTATAATACCTAACTGCTATTTGCCAAACCCCGAGGCGCATATATGTTACACGTATTCTGGTATTCGATGTCACTTCGTTTGGTTTTGATAATAATTCACGACAACGAGGCTGTTAATTTATTTTGTCCGTCGAGTAGGTTGTATATAGTTTGTGGG